CTTGGATAAATATAAAAGTGAACACAGATTATCACTTTGTAGAAATCATTTTATTTACATACAAGATAAACATGCCAAGACTTATTATGATCTTTTATCTTCAATGTTTATTCAATGTTTATTCAGCAAATATTGTCAAGCATCCTTTAGAAGAAAGACTTTTTTTTTTTTTTTTTTTAATTGTGATTTGGGTGAAGATTTACAGAGCAAATTCACTTTCCATACAGCAGTTCACATACACTTTGTCTCATGTCATTGACCACATTTTACCACAATGCAACAGCTCCCCTCCCACTTCCTCCCCATAGTTACCTCTTCCCAGTGTCCATCCCTCCATACTCTCCTGCGCCCTGAGCTGTCTCCCTGTGCATAAGCAGCCTTTCCTTCTCCCATGATTGTCTCTCCAGGGCATGTGTCTACTTGAGGTAAATGTTTAACTCACATGCTTGTACTTTGTTTGGCTGGCAACCACAGGTGTGGGTTCAATCCCAGACCTGAAGGGCAGCTAGGGGCCATAGTCTCAGTGGTTCCACCAGGCTCTATTGGACCAGCAAACCTGGTCCCCACTAGAAGAAAGAGTTCATGTTTGGCACCTGAGGGAAGGAATGAACATGAGTACCTACTAAAAGGATTAACATGCTTAGCTGCCATGGTAGTTAAGGTTGTATATCAACTTGGCTGGGCCTGGTTGAGTGGCTGGGCAGCTGGTGGCAGTTATTCCCCATGATGAGACTGGCAATCAACTCCACGGTGGGATCTACCACAAGCAGCTGAGTAGCTGCTTTGGGTATGTGATCTGCTTCCCATATATAAGAAGCAGCTTTGAGAATGGTCTCTAGCTTATGGCACGTTTGAATCCTGCATATAGCTGCCATGATCTGCTGATCTGGGGACTTTTAATGGGCTTGAATTAATGGCCTGCCATGTGGTTTGGTAATATTGAAACTGTGACTTGTTACTTGTCGATCTTGGGTTTGTCAGCCTCAGCAGCCAGCAGCTGAGTGAAGAAAAGCCTCTAGCTTCAGTGGCCAGGAGCAGGAAGCAGAGCTGAAGCCCAAGGTTGAGGGGCTTTCACCCAGCTCCTAGAGCCTGGCACTTTGAACTTGGACTTAAAATCTCCAAATTGTAAGAATAAACTCCTATTTGTTAAAGCCATCTCATTTGTCGTATCCTCTGTTAGAGCAGCACTAGATGACCAAAACAGCTGCTAACTGAAAAGTTGGAAGTTCAAGTCTACCCAGAAGAAGCACTTCAGAAAAGCCTGGCAATCTACTTCTGAAAAACTCAGCCATTGAAAACCCTAAGGGACACAGTTCTAACATACATGGGGTTGCTATGAGTCAGAATCAACTCAACAGCAACTGGCTTTTACTACATGCAAGCCATTTTGTTTGTAGTAAATAAGGATATAAAATAAAATTTCTATGATAATTCTTGTGAATAGATAACACAGCAAATGTGAATTCCTCCTTACCCTACTCCTCCTTTAAGAGGTTATCTCATAATTTAATCTTTGCAACAATTTATGAGATGGGCATTAATCCTTAGAGGATGACAAAATTAAAGCTTAGAGAAATTAAATTGACCGAAGTTGTCCAGCAAGTAAGTGGTGAACAGAGATGTGAACCAGGGTTGGTCTATTTCCAAGAGCCCACATGCTTTTTCAGTGACACAATGGAAGCCTAAAGACGGTAATTATATGTATTTCTAAGGCTGGTTTAGCAATGCAAGCAACTTTTCAGAACTATCACAATATCCCTTGAATATGACTCTTCCTCCCCCCACTCCCCTTTTTTTCATCATCTGTTGTTCCACAGGCCCAGGGGAGAATAGAAAAAGCCTGCCATCTTGAGGCAACCCAGCTAGCGGAAGGGCATGGGGAGCCCAAGGGCCATTATACTCAAAGGCACATGGATGGTATGTCCTTGAGAATATTAGAGGATCAGAACTGTTCTCTCCTGCCAGACTCTGTGTGCTGGAACTCCCCCTGCACTAGGAGGTCTTATTTGGAGAGAGGTGTTTCCTCCCACAGCCCACAGAGGGGAAGAATCTGTACTAGCATAACACAAGAGCAGGTCGTCATATTTGTAGAAATGAAAACAGGGAGAGAGAAACACTGTCTTCTGCTATAATTTTCTTCCCACCACCCCCCCACACACAAAAAAAGTATATATTTTGCATTTGAAATCCATTTGGGTATGAATCACAAAGATAATTTCTATTCATTCATCTGTTTTTGCATAAAGAAAACTCAGGCTCATAGGTTCTGTTGGCATGTAAATTAAAGATAGGGTGGTATCTCATTAAAATTCTAAGGATGTGCTGATCCTACCCTAGGGTTTCTCTCATCAAAAGATTTCTCTTGTACTGCTGGTGTTGACTTATTAATAAAGCTCATGCCTTTATTTGATTATTTATCTAATCAAGATCCACCTTAGTTTAAGCTCATTAAATCTGTAGCTCATAAGTGGTGCTGGAACTGTACTTAATGATGGAATTACATCCAGGTGAGACAGAAAATGTGTTCAAGCATTAATGGTCAGAAACAAAGACAGTGCCCTGTAAGACTGCCCCATCCCTTCGTGCGGAACATGGGAACTGTCTGCCAACCAAACAGCAACAACACTTATTTAAAAGGTTAGTTTTGTAGAATAAGGGCTGGACATTATCATTAAGTGCATTTGGTAATAGAGCAACAAAAATGGTAAGAACTTTTAATTACTTTAAAAATCAGAAGATAATACCCATTCTTTATATGCATTATGTTGGGGAAGATTTTCTGAGTTTTATGTAAAATTTCTGAGTTAGATTCAGGATTCTGAATGCTTGATGTGCCCGGCCTGACTTCCGGTGACTTTCATTGAGCCTGTTTGCTTTCACTTACTGGTTGTAATACAGGCCAACCTAATAATCTCTCTCCTGGGTCTTGCAGAAACAGATAACTAAATCATCTTATTCTTACCTGATTGGTGGTTGCTGGTTTCAACTGCTTTAAGGCCTCTGCTGCACAAATAGGAAATTCCACTTCCTGTTGGACTAAGAAACCTCAGGCTATCACAATGCCACACTGGAAGAGGGCCCATAAACAGCAGGGTTGTGCAGTAATGGAGGCTCCATATTTCCTACTTGGAAACACTGTAGCTCACACCTGGCACTGTAATGGACTAAATTATTTATCCACTCAAGTAAGAGAGAAAGCAGCTCAGAGCTTCCTGAGTTTATAGCCTTAGTCCCTGGATTCATAATGAGACAGGAAATAAGCAAGACTCCACCAGCAAAGACCAAAAAAAAAAAAAAAAGAGACATTTACTCCAAAATCCTCCTCTACATGGAATAAGCCACAACCATGGTGAAAATAAGCTGGTCCCATCAACCTTCATAGATTAATTATGTACATACTATGTCCAGGCATTTGACTGCTAAACAGAAGCCTGGCAGTTCAAATCCACCAGCCACTCCTCGGAAGGAAGATTGGGCAATCTACTTTGTAGTGATCCTGCCTCGGAAACCCAAGGAGGGGTCACTATGAGTAGGATCCAACTCCAGGGCAGCGAGTTTGATTTAGTTTATGTGGTAGGCACTATGAAATAGAAAAAGAAGTGTAAAACGTGACCTTTACCCTCAATGAGCTTATAATATGTCCACTTAGAGAAAGCATGTGAAAAGTTAAATTTCTCATTGATCCATTCCAAAAATGCACTGTCAGGCATTGTGTTGGGTACTGGGGATAGAGTAGTGAGGAGTAGTCTCATGAGTAAGAATGAAAACCAGGCAATGACTGAAATACAATCAGACTAGTGCCAGAACGGATAGATGGGTAAAGGGTGTTAAGTAACAGTGAAAAGAGAAATACCATGAGACTGTGTATAGTTCATTTCCCAGTAAATGAGATGTATGGTAAATGTCCTGAGATAAAGCGGTTTGTAGTTTTGGCTTTGATACTGCTGTAAACAACATATCCAAACACCAATAAACATTCCACCTGTGCATGAAAGAGAGCTTGTTTAGCCTGAAGCCAGCACTTTTAAGTTTTTTTGATTTGTCATGCAGAACAAGCAACAGGCCTAGATGGAATTCAGTCATCTATTAAATGTGTCCGGTAAGTACTAGAGTGTCTCTGAGAATTCACCTCAGTCTCAAGACCATCCTTTGGGTCAGGAAGTTCAGCCCTAACATTGAAGACATTTCATTTTGGGATTTAGGAGGAAAGAACAAAAAAATGTATCACCTACAAGCTTGTGTTTTTTACTACAGTGGATTAGAGATTCTTATACAATTACTTTTCCCATAATGGGTTGTACTTAAAGTCATAGTTATGTAAATGTTATTTCTCTTACTTATTATAGTCTCTGGACTTCTGAATCCAATTTGTATTCCTCTTAAGATATCTGTCATAATGTCCTCTAATCTATTTATTTGTATACATGACCCCTCCCACCCCATTAATATCATGAGGACAGGAAAGGTGCCTTATTCATATTTCTGAATTCCTTGTCACTTAGCATATTGCCTTGTGTGTAACAGGCAGTCAGTATTTGTTTGGACCCTCCTTTAACCCCAATCCTGGAGTTTATTCCCTCCCACACACACAAAAAAAAAAAAAAAAAATGGCCCTTCCCTAATTGTTAAAGATGCATGCAATTTAGGAAGAAAGAAAAAGACAGCAAAATCATTCCTAATGATCCACAGGGAGGCAGATGTCAGAGTTGGGTTCACCTGCTCATAATGTGAACCAGTATTGGATGCTGTAAAATATATAGCCTGCAGTGGACTCAGTCTCATGAACAAGCACAAACAGAGGGGACCCAGTGAGCAAAAATGACATTAAAATTGTTATAGAGTACAAAATAGACATCATGATTTCTTAGAAATTATCTAATTCAGGTAGGAAAAGTCAAAGGCCCATGAAGCTCTGATACAAACCATGGCAAAGAGGGGGTGCTATCCACAATAGCGTCTTAATTATTGGTGATCTCATTCCTGTGTATCATTATCTATAGGTGGGATTGGCTGCGAAGGTCAAGACAAGGGCCAGGTTCGAAAATGCCTTGATGCCGTCGAGATCTACAACCCTGATGGGGATTTTTGGAGAGAGGGCCCACCCATGCCAAGTCCTCTCCTCTCCCTCCGAACCAATTCGACTAATGCAGGAGCAGTGGATGGGAAATTGTATATCTGTGGGGGATTCCATGGAGCAGGTACTGATCCAGGTTAAATGTTTTATAATCTCCTTTGGTGTTGATTTTTTTTTTTTTTAATTTTTATTGTGATTTGGGTGAAAGTTTACAGAGCAAATTCATTTTCCATACAGCAGTTCACATATACTTTGTCTTATGACATTGATTGCAATTTCCCACAATGCAACAGCTCCCCTCCCACTGCCTCCTCATAGTTACCTCTTCCCTGTGTCCTTCTTTCCCTGCACTCCTGCCCCCCCATCCCCCAGCTGTCTCTGTGTGCATACACAGCCCTTCTATTCTCCCATGATTGATCCCTCCAGGAGTGTATCTACCTAATGTAAACGTTCAGCTCATATGACTGTCTTTTGTTTCACTGGAAGCCACAGGTGTGGGTTCAATTCCAGACCTGAAGGGCAACTAGGGACCATAGTCTCAGGGGTTCTGCTAGGCTCGATCAGATCAGTAAACCTGGTCCCCTTTTTTTTTCCCCATGATTTTGAGTTTTGTTCCACATTGTTCTCCCACTCTATCCAGAATCTCCTGCATAGATCCCCTCCAAGTGGTTGACAGTGGTAGCCAAGCACCATCTAGTTCTTCTGGTTCCTTTGGTGTTGATTTTTACGTCTCTTAACCCCATCACCAATGAATAAACCTGAGAGCAGTGCATGCACTCGAAAAACATGGAATTTAGAATTTGGTGTCCTTGAGCAACTCACCAAACAAATCTGAAGTTTCATTTTCACAACTATAAAATGGGGCTGCTACCTCTATAGGCTGATGTAAGAATTAAAAGAGATCTAATTTATAATGCATCTAGGACATGAAAGATACTCAGTAAATATTATCTGACTTTGAAAAGTATCTCGGTGTCTCAATGGTTAAAAGTGCTCAGCTGCTAACCAAAAGGTCAGTGGTTTGAACCCACCAGCCACACTCCACAAGAGAAAGCTGTGACAATTTGCTTCCATAAAGATTCTAGGCTTGGAAACCCACAGGGCAGTTCTTCTCTGTCCTATAGGGTTGCTATGAGTCAGAATCAATGGCAGTGGTTTTGGTGATGGTTTATGAAGAGAAAATGAATGATACAGGAAAGATTTGTGTGTGATTGTTGGACTGAAGGAGAGGTTTAAAAATGTAAAGAACAGGTGATAGTGGATGTAATGACCAGAAGCACTGAATTTGATTTCTGTCTTTGTGGTAGTTCAGTTTATGTGTCAACTTGGCTGGGCCTGGTTGAGTGGCTGGTCAGCTGGATGTAGTATTCCCCATGATGACACTGGTAATCAACTCCATGGTGGAATCTACTGTGAGCAGCTGAGTAGCTAGCTGCCTGAGGGAATGTGGTCTGCTTCCTGCATATAAGCAGAAGCCTTGGGGATAGTCTCTAGCTTATGGCATCTTGAACCCTGCATGTAGCCATGTTGTTGTTCAACAGCCTGCCATGCTCTGCCGACCCTGGGACTTAAAAAGGACTTGAATTAATGGCCTGCCATGTGATTTGGTAATATGGGGACTGTGCCTTTTTACTTGTCAACCTTGGATTTGGCAGCCTCAGCAGCCAGCAGCTGTCTGAGTGAAAAAGCTTCTAGCTTCAGTGGGCTGGGAGCTGGAGGCAGAGCTGAAGCCCAAGGTCAAGGGGCTTTCACCTAGCCCCTACAGCCTGGCATTTTGAACTCGGACTTAAAGCCTCCAAACTGTGAAAGAGTAAACTCCTATTTGTTAAGGCCATCCCATTTGTGGTATATTCTTGTCAGAGTGGTAGTAGGTAACCAGAACAGTCTATGAGCAAAAAACTCTACCCTTCAGAAAACTCTCTTATTCTTATCCCCACTACTGCCTCTTGAAGTAAGTGACTTGAAAGTATTTCTAAAATAATACCTACCTAATGTGTATATTATTACTAAGTTTAGCTTTCAGATATCTAATTGTACCATTATTGCATTCTACAGTATGGATTCATAATTTTTAAGATAACAGAGAGATTTCAAAATATGCATAAATCTAGCCAGCAAGAGTTTCCAAAATTTGATTCATTGCATTAGTAAATAAAACAGACTGCAGATATACTAAAGATCACTGAATATTTAATTTTTAACCTCACTAATAGGAGCACTATGCCAGTACATATCCATGAAAAATATCCCCCAAGAATATTTCTATTTTGGAAGAGTGCCAAAATAAATAGAATAAAACAAAACTCACACTGCAGCAAAGCAGAACCTTTTATAAACCAGCCTTCATTTTATACACTTATAATTATATGTAAATTAAAAATAGAGTTTTGATAACAAAATTACAAGAGACTTAGGCGATATATGAACTAAATGCAATGGGTAGACCTTACTGGTTGTTTATTTTTATTTCTTTGTGGTGAAATATATATTACAAAACACTTGCCATTTCAACCATTTTTATATGTGCAATTCATTTTTATGTGTACTTTTTTGGTTCTTGATTCAAACAAATCTGTAAAAAGATATTCTTTTCTGATAATCTGGGAAATTTTCATATGGACTGGGGTATTAAATGATATTATGGAATTATAATTTTGAAAGTGGAGGGAGAAAGTGAAAATAGATTTTAAAAGATTGGTAAAATGTTGATAATTGTTAAAGCTGGACCTAAGGCATTTGACTGCTAACCAGAAGGCTGCTGGTTCAAACCTACTAGCTGCTCCTCAGAAGGAAGATTGAGCAATCTACGTCTGTAGTGATACTACCTCAGAAACCCAAGGAGGGGTCACTATGAGTTGGATCAGATTCCACGGCAGTGAGTTAGGATGGTGGATACATGGGGCTTTATTTTGTGACTTTTGTGTACGCATGAAAATTTCCATATTAAGAAGCTTCAAATTTTTTTCTCTATTCTTCAGAGCACTTTCCAAAGAGGTTTTTAAAATAATTGTCTTAACATCTTTTTACATGAAACATCACATGCCATGCTTGTATCAAGATAGTAATCTATCCTAATAGCAAGAAACCTGGCATAGTAAGGAAGCCTAATAAGTCAGGAGGGAGATCCAAGATGCTGGACCACCAGGGCTCTCTGATCACCTGCCCTCCCCCTCCATCCTCTGGCCTTTGGCTTTCTCTTAACCAGAAAAGGACAGAGAATACAGGAGTAGGTTCGGGACCTCCAGAGACAGGAGTGGTAATTAATGTCTAAAGATATAGAAGACATTCTGTTTTGTCCTGTTTCTTTATCTTATCTTTCCTTGTATTATATTGAGTTAGAGAATTGAAATCATGTCTAAACTCATACCATGAGTCACCCTCTCTTCTCAGTATTATAATGGGCTGACAATGCTTTCAGCCAGAAGGAAAGGGATTTATTATATGAGCTCTCAAAGTCCATTTTAATTATTTGATTCTAAGATAACATTGTCTGAGCTTAGCTGAATGAATTGTCATTGGGATTTTACGCAAAATAGAATAATTATATAATAGCATGCCCATTATGATCTAGAGATTGCATCATCAGACCTATAAACAAATACTGAATTTTCTCTCCTTGTGTGACACTGACCTACTTGTCCCATTTATTTATTCAAAAACCAGTTGAGAAATTAACCTTTTTTAATTATTAATTCAATAAAATATATTAAAATGTACTGTGTACAGGCATTTGGGATGTAATCTTAAGATGTTCAACATTGGATGAGAAAGAGATACATAAATGTGTTAAATATAGTAATTTGGTTTTGGTTAAAATATAGATTGAGCATTTCTATTTCTCTCCCAAACTCTACTAAAATGACTGTAGTCAGTCAGAGAAGAGGAAGGAAAACAATAGCAACAAAATTTAGGAAGGCGGAAAACAGATGAATGAGTAGTAAACAACTAGAGCTGAGAAAGTTCAATCCTACACTGCAAATGGGAAAATAAAAGGAGGAAAAAGAAGAAAAAAAAAAAAAAAAACGATTCATACCACAGAACTCCAGATATGCTCAGGAATTAGCAAAACAAACAGGTAACTCTAGAAGAAGGAATTAAAATGATCCCGAAAAGGTGAAGATTGGTTGAAAGGCAGACTCTCAATCATCTGTTCTACTCTCAATAGTTAAAGTCCACCCCAATAAAGATTGAGTTTGAGGGTTGGAGTCTAGTACCAAAAACAGGGATTAAATGCAAGTTTGTGTACTGAATATTGAAATCCCCAACTTTCTTTTCTCCCTGACTCCCAGAATGTTGGCAGTCATACCCTCCAGGCAGGAGACGGAAGATTCTTCTTTGGGGATCTGACCAGGCCAAAATAGGGCACAGCTAGAAATCTCTCCTACTGTATTGAATTTCCATGGAGTATTGCTCTTAAGAATAAGCCAACAGCTAAGAATCACCACACATTTGAGGAAAGCATGTATATGAAAAACAGAAATCTAAACAAATGAAGAAAAGCAAGCTAGAGGAAACAGACACTATAGCAGGAGAGGAAATATTCTCAGAGATAAGAGAAAATATTGCATTGATGGAACAGGAAAAGGATATTTAAAAGAGCTTGGAAATGAAAAATATGATAGCAAAAATTAAAAATACACAATAGAAAATTTGGAGGGTATAAACTTGTCAGAAAGCAGAGTAAAAAGCAATTAGGTAGAAAATAAAAAGAAATTAAGTCCAGGAAATCCAGTGTTTGAATTACAGGAGTTGCAATAAAAGAAAATAGAGAACCCAGCCATCCCACTACTAGGTATATACCCTAGAGAAGTGAGAGCCATGACAAGAACAGATATATGCACGCCGATGTTCATCGCAGCACTATTTACAATAGCCAAAACATGGAAACAACCTAGATGTCCAT